GAAACATGGGCCATGCGCAGATGCCTCATGCGTGGCGGGCACGCTCATCGGCACCACCGACGGTGGCTTAAGCAAACAGCACCCGAGAGCATCCGCCGGCCTCAACTACTTTCAGATGGCCACTGCACCAAAACGAAATAGGAACAACGCCTTGTGGTCGTCGCGCTGGCCTGCGCTTCATGTCCCGGGGCGAAACGTCTCCTCCGGACGGCCACTCAAGCACGAAACGTCAAATGGTGGACCCACGGCGCTGATGGACCCACAGTAGCGCCACGCAACATCCAGCCAAGACGCCATGCTTGCATGTGGTCGTGCGCTGGCAACCTGCTCCACGCAACAAACACCTCCATCTGATCCCCCCCTCATCCGGACCGGATCTGGCCTGGCCTAGCCCTCACCTTATCGAAGTAGATCCGCACGCCGTCCATGAGCTCCTGGGCGCGAGCAGTCTGCTGCGGCGTCCCTCGGTTGGCTTTGCTGTCCATGTACTGCGCCATCACGTCTGCGGCGGTCACCTCGCGCGGCAGCTTGACTAGCCGCCGCGGCTCCTGGGTGACGTGCTCCCAGTCGGTGACGAGCTGCTTCTTGAGCGTGAAGGGCATCGCCACCTTAACCTCCGTCACCCCGCTGTCGTCTTCCTGATATCATCCCCGTGGGGAAACCAAGGTTTCGTCGTCGAGAACACAAATGCCGTCATCCTCATGAACGCTCCACTACAGAGACCGTGAAGGTTTAAGATACACTAAGCGCACGCAATCGACTCAACAACCCGGCTTTGTTCGTCTGCCATCCGGAGTACTACTGTACAGCAGAACAGCAGCGGCTCGCAAAGTATCAGAAACCATTCACCCCGTATATCGATATCTTCCTCCACTTTCTAAGTATGCAAAGTCTAGGTTTCTACAGCTGCAAATACTTCAGAGAAAAACTGTGCGTTTTGTCTGGACCTGGTAGCACCGGAGGAGAGCAGCAAATTTTGTGGCACACAACCTGTGCGCATTGAAGTCATTTAGCAAGGGTATTGTCAGGTAGCGTCAAGGCGAGGGCCATGATTCAGGTAATCGGCGTTCGTAGGTTTGTTGATTTTGTTGCCCCGTTTGTGCAGCAAAAACTCAAACCTCCACATGCGTGCTGATGTTGGCTTTCAGCCGGAACGCTACGTATGCCTGTTTCGCTCCAGGACCAGAACTATACACGCTTTTTCCTGGACTGAAAAAGGCGTTCGATCGAGCGTGGATTTCTTCATCCCTACATGTAGGCTCCCTCTCACCGTATCCTTCTTCACATCTACGCGAGCCCTCTTGATCTTTTGGTCTTCCTTCTTGATCTGCTCCTTGACCTTCTGGTCTTCCTTGCGCTTGGCCGCGTTCACCTGGACCCCAGCGGCAACAGAACGAAGCAGGGAAACAAGTTCACATGACACGTTTGCTTCAACAAAAGGAGCAGCGGGATAAAAACATATCGAAGGGTATGACCCACCGAGGTCACACCGACGGAATCCCTTCGCCCAGGTCATTCCAGATAGAGGCAAAAGTTCATTACTTCCACGGATACCGGGTGTTTGTCATGCTGGCCGACCAAACGCTCAATTGGGAACTTCATAAAAGTTTCTGCTCGAGCTCGGACCCAGCTCATGAAGGAAGCTTTACAACGCCGCGTTCAACAGCACAAGCCCGCGAACACAAGGTCCTACGCTTTAGCAGTAGTGGAAACCGATTTTGATCGCAACAACCACGTGGAGAGCTGGCTGACCTTCGCCTTCTTCTTCTTGTCCTTGAGCTGTTGCTGCATTTCCAAAGCCTCAGGCCCCGCCGCCATGAGGTCCGACTCGACAACCCACTTGTCCCATCGGCTGTTCCACCCCATGTAGTGCAAGAAGTACGTGAACTGCTCTCCGGACGGCTTGAGCTTGATAACCTGGCAAAGGAAACAGGGGCATGACACGAGAGGAACGAGGCCTACTTGCACTGAGCGGGTTCATTTGGCGCAACGGATGGTGTGTGCGTGTGTTCGTCGTACCGATTATTCTGGATGTCAGAATTATTGTTCCTCTCGGTACTACTTCTGAACGCCAGCAAGACGGTAGAAAAGGCCGAATAATTCAACCGAGAGAGCAGCGCCGGGGTGGCAACAATTTTCCAGCGCAAAAAACAGGCATTGCGCAGCACCGATGGAGCGCAGTCAGGACCACGGGCGTCAACGCGCTTCGAACCTTGATGCCTCTCGCTCAGGGTCTGCGAGAGGCCTGGGGGGCTGCAGCTGTGGTGCACAAAAACTTCGTTTGCTTTGTTGCGCCCGGCAGGTGCATGCGAACATCTGAATCAATTTGCTTCACTGGGCAAGACCCAAACAACGGAAACGACAAAATGGCCAATATTTACAGGGAGATATTATGAGCCCACTGGAAGAGTTTGGACACCAAGAGCCATTGCTTGCCTAATCCGTACATCACATGTGCGTTGGGGTTGTTTTCGTCTCATTAATGCTGGGCGCCAATCTACACCTTTCCGTATTCGTTTGACGCACCAGCAGTTGGACCAGTACGGATACTAGCGGAGACCAGAACGTTCCATTTGACAACAAAACCTGGGCCCCACATTGCCGCATCACAGTGCCGACTTCAACATGAACCCGAACCGCCAAGACCCCGGGCAACCTTACGTTCGCAATAAGGACAACTCGATCGACTCCGAAGGTCCTCCATCGCTGATCTCTGATTTGGGAGACGAGTTTTTTAAAACCAAAGCGTCACAGACGACGAGCCAATGTTGGCAGACGAGTTACATACTCCATCAATGGATGTACGGCAGCGCTAGGTCTTTCGTCCAGTGTCATTTGTCGCCACCCAAATAGTATGCAAATAATCACGGGACAAGTCCTGCGTATCCCCGTCGAAAACGTGCGAACGTGACAGCTGGGTGTTGCAAATGTCCGGACAAATTACGTTGAACTCAGCGCCGCGTCATTTCTTAAAACGTTTACAACTTGTGACAAGCCTGTGTACAATTGTAAACAACCGTAGTAAATTGCACACAACAAAGAACAGTAGTAAATTACACACACCAAAGAATATCAAACAACACCAGACAAAAGAACAACGCATCGCCACTCCCACATCTCCCAAACGCATAGTTTGCCATCAAGTCGCGCTACAGGGAGGGCATGAAAACCACGTCATGGACGCCATATGCAACTAGCCCTTGACGCTTACGAATGGCTCACACAACATGTTCAGCAGCGCACCACATACTCCCACATCCTTGGCTACGGTGTCCATTCTAACGGTGCTGAACTTGTCGTATATCTTCCATTGCTTCAGTACCCCAATAGCTCGCTCGACGTGTATCCGTAGATTCGTCACCTCCTTCGCTAGTGTTATGGGAATCCTCTGCAGACTGCTCCTCACCAGTGCACGAACCGGGAGGTGTAACAAGGGACATTCCTGGTGCTAGCAGTTGAATGCCAATCCCGTTGTGACCGCTGTCCGCCATAACGTTGAAATTTTTCGCTTCCCCGAAGCCAAAGTCACCAAGTCCTTGATAACACCGCTGCGGTTTACCAACTCCGTCTCACTGATCCCGGCCCCATACAACTCCGAGATGAAGCAGATGGAGCCACTTGGGGTAACATCAACTAGCAACTTCCCTATCGGTCTGTGCTTGTATGGCGAACACAAGCATGTGTGCCTTTCTAGGGAGCTTGGTGATGTATATAACGAGAGGTAAATTTTGTTTTGCGAATCGCACCGCTGAAAAAGCAGTGGCATCTCCCTGCGACTGGGTCGTTCTCGGAATCTTTCACGCACAGGGCCGATCAGACCTCTGCAGATCGAGCTAGCTCTTTCGAGGGGTATGTCCCTGGTGATCGGAACGACATGGGTGATTGGTGTTTCCCCGAGGTGATCTGAAGGACATGTTGGTACCAGGGTTGTTGGCTAGAGGTGATCTGGAGGACAAAGGTGATCGTGGTATGTTTGCTCCATGGTGATCTATAGGACATCGGTGAATTACAGCTCACGATCTGTCCCACGTGTGGAATTTTTCGGGCCGGAAAATTAGTACGAAGTACACAACTTTCGAAAGTGCGTGTACTCTATTGCCCAACGACCCACGGCGGGCCGGTTTGCAGGCCGAATTTTTTCACGAAAACAAAACGCGGTAAACCAGAGTAGCACTTCATACAGTACACACTACGGCTATTTCAAGGCGCTGCCAGCTAAGTAAAAACTACCTTCTGTCCTCCACCATTCTGCCAACGCATTGTGCGTGACATGCAGGGAGTGCTGGGGGGAGAAAAACGAACGGGTGTTATGCCGCAGTGTGCGGAAAGGGGCTACAGAGTACATGAGATGTAGGTGAAACTGCTCAATCCACACAACAGAGCTATGTAATTTCCGCGAAACTGACTGTGGAAGATGCTCTATCTTTCAGTAACCAACACACCGATCACGTGACAGCTGGTATCGGCTCGATCGCACGCCCGCAACGATCTTCAGAGTGCGGGCCTCTCCAATCTTTCGGTCCACTACACCCCCAACCCACCGCCAATCTGCAATTCAAATTGTGAGTTTCAATCTGACCTTGGCTTCGTACAGATCACCGTTGTCCATTGCATAGACCTTGTCATCTGCCTTGAATTTGTTTTTGTTGGACGCGGCACCTTTCTTGTCTTTGGCGATTTTCGTCATGGTGATTTCTCCACGCTTCCTGCGCTCTCTCTCTGTGCTCAGTGCCGCCTTTCTACCCTGCCGCGCTGCGCATTGCGCGCCGCTGCTCTGCCCCCGCGTGGGTTCGGCAACCCCCTGCCATTGTCGAACCCACGGAACCTCCCACATGCGGCGCAACTTGAAAAATATTGAAAATTGAAATTTGCGCCGCATAGCCACACGAAACACCTGAACACCTCGCAGCTTTCTCTCTCCCCTCCATCCCCCCCCACCTCTGACCTACTCGGGGATGCACTACTGCGTCATCGACGAATCCCCAAGCTTTCACTGAGGAATGCTGTCTGTCCTCTCGCTATTGTTCATGGCCGGGATGCTGCACAGAGGGACAGCCTTCGGCCTTCCTCGATTTGCTCAGCGAAGTTCAGCAACCCTTGCCTCCTGGGTGAAGGTGTCGGCAGCAGCAGAAACGGTCCAATCACCTCCTGTAGCCACCAAAGATACATCCAGTTTGCTTAGCGAGCTTGCATCTGGAGTCGTGCAAGGAAAGGCGGAGAGGGTGAGAGCAACGCATTCCAAGTGTATGCATAGCTCAATGTCTTTCCACGCGAGACTGTCAGATTTTGGCGCCAACGGCTGCGAATTCGTGTATCGAGTGTAATCTACTGCTGTAGATATCAGGTCCAGCAAATGGATAGCACTTGGTTTCATTGTTGTTGTGCTGCTTTGCTCCACCCCCTGCCTCCGGATTTCACTATCAGGCAGTGCCGGCAGGATCCCAGCTCAAACGGAGACGCGCCTGGGACCTGTACCTCGATGGGTCAGAGGCAGCAGCGGTGCTGGTGGTGAGCAAAAGATCGACATTTACGCTTGAAGACGCTCGCACAGCGCTTAGGATCATGAGCGACGAGGCGGCTGCCAGATGCCTCAACGATGAGACCAAACGCGTGCGGCAGCTTCTCCTAGCAACACGTGCGGCAGTGGCCCCTGCAGCCGAGGCTTTTCTTCAGGGGGCGCACGCGAACCTTGGACAGTCCGATTTTGGCGAGACGCGCGGTGTCGCCGTCATGAGGTGGGAACAACTTCAACAGTTGGTTCAAGATGGCGGCCTCGGGCGGCACCTTACCCGCTCTCGCCGAAGGGGTGGAAGTGGTGATCCCAATGCGCCGTCATTTGCACTACCTGCGTGGTTGGTTAAGGAGCGGGAGCGCGGCGTAGGCGCGATGTTCGATCTCGACTCGCCCTTCGAGCCAGCTGGAGATCAGCCGGAGGCAATCAAGGCCCTTTCCCAAGGAATCGAGGAAGGAAAGCGGCATCAGACGCTCCTCGGCGCGACGGGCACGGTGCGGTCCTTAGCTGCTGCCGTGTCATATGTGCATCCCCGCGTCGCGAATCGTCCTCTGTCCTCTGTCTGTTTCTGCAAGAGTTGCCCGCTGTTGACAATCGATTTTTCAACCGACCGTAGATGCAATCCCTCCGCTGTTTTGTCTGTTTTGTTGGGAATGCGAGCCACTCACTCTCCCAATCAATCCACCCCCAAGTCCCTGTATTAACGTGTGCATGCGTCTTAAAACGCTGATGTACTGGGTGGGAACAGGGGAAGACATTTATCATCGCTAACGTGATTCAGGAAGCTCGCCTCCCGACCCTGGTGCTTGCTCCGAACAAGGTCAGTCTCTCGTTTTTCAGATCCCAAGTGTGGTTTGATGGTACAAATCACGTTGCCTTCTGTCAGCCTTGTCAGTGTTTGGGATTCATCCGCCCGAAAAATTGCACAGGAACCGCTGTTGCATTGTTCTTTGCTCGAGCCTGTCGTAACGATCCGGGACGTTTCGCGACGGACAGGTCCTGGCTTCGCAGCTCACGAACGAACTTCGCGCATTGTTCCCCAACAATGCGGTGGAATTATTTGTGAGCTACTACGACTACTACTTGCCAGAAGCGTTCAACTCTGCTTCAGATACTTACATCGACAAGGTACGGTGACGTGGGTTGGTTCATATTACGCAGGCCTCGGCCGTTACAGCCTGTTCAGTGCCACTAACGCGTCTACCGTTTCAACAGCGGACTTTCTTCGCAGCAGTCCTATGCGCTCGATGATGTCACAAACAGCCGTCTTGTCGCTCTTTTTTGTTGGTAGGATACAACGTGGTCGCCCAGTGTATTGTGAAAAACGTGGGGTGGATGCATCGATGGGGACCCTCCCTCCCTTTACAGTGTAAATAACCTATTCGCACCGCCTCGAGCTGCGTTGGAGAATTGGTTTGCTTGTGTCTCGTTGTCACCGGTGCGGCCTCTTGACCGGGCTTGGTGCATCAAACAGGTTGTGCAAATCAATGATGACATCGATCGGATGCGTCATTCTGCCACACGATCCCTGCTGGAGAGGAGAGACGTCATCGTCGTGGCCTCAGTGAGTCAGCCCCACGTACACGTGCTAGATCTTGGTGCGAAGAGCGTAGAGTGCACCGCTCTACATTTGCGTCGCTTCACCCCTTCGAGCAAGAGAAATCCATCCTGAGGCGGGACCGCAAACGCGTACACGCGCAAGGCCCGACATTTGAGGACGTAATTCGATATGACGGCGCTAGTCTGTCGGGGAAGAGTCGTATCGAGGCTCTAACTCTCAAACAACGCTGGAGGTGTGTGTAGGGACATACTTTGAATGTTCATCGTGTACTTGTTTTGTCAGCGTGACTGTACCACGAAGAAGCTGTGGTCATTGATTTTTCTACGCAGGTGAGTTGCATATATGGGCTGGGTATGCCCAGCAAGTACCTGGAGGCGAGTATCCGGATTATCGTGGGTCAGGAGTGGACTGATGGCTGGAGGGCGCTAGCAAAGCATCTCGAACAGGTGCGTATAGTTCTTGTGGGTAGCCTCCCCAGCCCCCAACCAATCCTGCGTTTTGACTACCCACTCACAACTTCAACTCCTCTTTACGGCACCGCCGGGTACCGGACGTGCCTGAAGAAAGCGTTTTTTTTCAGCGCTGGACAGCGAGTCCAGCGTAGGGGCATATTCGTGGGTGTAGTTTAAACTTGTACCTGTGCAGGTTGCAGCACTTGCCGAAGATTCCGCGGTAGCGAATCAATTTCGCGAGCTCCCGAACAGGCCCTTCACGATTCATTCACGTAGCGTTCCTGTCGCTGACGCCCTTGCAGGGCCTGTTCTACATCCCGAAGCACAACCGAGAAGAGTTCGAGGCTCTCCCTCGCGGGAGCTTTCGTAGTGTTTTTGCGGAAGGCGGAGGGGGTGTCATCGAGATAGGCCCTGCCTCGGATGAAGCCGTCGTCCGTGTCACACTGGACGCGGCAGGTGTCGTGCGGAGAATACAGGTGGTGCCCATCGTTGGGGGGGGCAAGACGAGAGCGGACAAGGAGAGGGAACCACACCATGACCTGTCGGACCTACTCACTGCTCCAGATCGTGGCCACGACAAGCCTCTGGTGGGCTCAGAACCAGCGCTGGACGACGTAGACGCGCACGTGATTTACCCCGCCAAGCACCATGTGGTCGGGAGGGGAGAAATGGAAGACGTGATGTCCAAGATCTCGGAGGAAATGGAAGAGCGGTGCTCACAGCTGGGACTCGGTGGGAAGATCTTGGAAGCAGAGCGATTACGCCAGCGGACTGAAAACGACCTGTTGCTACTTGGCGCTGTCGGGACATGCAAGGTGGAGGCCAATGATGCCCCCTGTTCCATCGTATAACTCCAACGTCGCTCCGTAGCTCTCCACCAACAACGTAATATGCCGTGTTGATTTGTTCCGTCAGGTGCGGGCCGAACATACTGAACTTGGACGATTGAGGTGCCGTCGAGTACTTGAGCACAGTGAAACATTTGTTTCAGCATATTTGCCACGCCTTTGGATGTCTCTAACAGGGTGTGGAGAACTACTCCCGTCATCTCGCTGGGCGTGGACCAGGAGACCCACCAGAAACGCTGGTCGACTATTTCCCCGAGAACGAATGGCTTCTAATCGTAGATGAGAGCCACGTTTCCGCGCCCCAGTTGGGCGCCATGTGGGGAGGAGACCAGGCACGCAAGAAGAAGCTCGTGGAGCACGGGTTTCGACTTCCTTCGGCTTTGGACAACCGACCATTGAAGGTAGCCGTGGAATTCTTGCAGTCACACATGAAGGACCCCCTCCTCCGTCCTCTCGATACTTCTCTGTCCCATCAGATCCCCTTTGCGTGAGCTCCAAGGAATTTTAACGAGGTGGTGCCGTCAATAGACGCACGAAAATGCAGTGATAAACGATGTATCGTTGTCTTTGCCGACAAATACCTCCAAGTCTATCCCATTTGTCGCCGTTGAGGATTCCGTAGTCTGACTGTAGCCCCCCCCGTACCCGTCTTGGCTTTCATGGTTGGTTTCACCCCCCGCCAAATCACGGAGGCATTTCCAGTCGGAGAAGGATGCATGAAATCCAAAGGTTCACTCGGGAATATTACCGCCGTCAAATTACCGCCGTGGTGGGCGGTCCCGGTAATCCGCCGTTTTACCGTCGTTTTTTTGTTTTACCGCCTCCTCCAAAGTCGTTGTTGCCGATAAACGCGTTACCGCCTACCGCCAAAACAATTTCCGCCGTATGGCGTTCCCGCCGAAGTATTACCGCCGTTTTTTTGTTTTACCGCCTCCGCCGAAGTCGTTTACCGCCGACAAGCGCCTTACCGCCTACCGCCAAAACAATTACCGCCGTATGGCGTTACCACCGAAAACTACCGCCGCACAGCATTACCGCCGAAAAATTACCGTCACATAAGTACGTTGCCGGGCGGTCCGAGTGGCTAGAGGTCTAGCCTCGGCCACTACGTTGCAATGCTGATCGCTAGGAGTTCGACTCCACACGTGGATTTGCTTGTTTGTTTCCGAACATATTCTTAATTTTTCAAACATTTTGTTTCATCTGTTCTTTGGTTCTGGAGTTTGGTTCGGGTTTGTTTTCGGGAGAACCCATTGATTATACGTTTTCCCGTTTGTCCGTTTCTATGTTTTGTTTTTTTACGTCGTGCTGACTCTAAAATGTGAAAATCACTGGTGAATACGACAAAACAATCCATGAGAGTACAGAATACCTGGTCTGAGTTGGAAGCGACACGCTGCAAAGCTCGTTGTTGGTAAACTTGATCGACTTCGTAAGTCGCGAGGGAAGGGATTGCTGTACCTTTCCCGCGATAAAAATATCTCAGGCAGGAACCGCAGGAGGGGGTCCAGCCCCCCCTCCCATGTGACCCCGGTTGGGTCGTCTAGCTGGTAGAAGTGGAGGATAGGGGCCAGAGGGGCAGCCGACAGAGTCCAATAATGGGAGGGAAAAACAAAAAAGGTCAATCTTCGGAAAGGAGGCTTGCCATCTCTTCGGACGCCGTAGCTCGGCACCGCACTTGCGGTCTTGTTTGGTGTCGCTTGAAGTTGTAGGCATATGTATATATGGCAATGGCACTCATTACCACCGTGGTGGGCGGTCCCGGTAGTTGGCCGTTTCACCGCCGTTTTTTGGTTTTACCGCCTCCGCCAAAGTCGTTAGCGCCGAAAACGAGCTACCGCCTTCCGCCACAATAATAACAGCCGTATCGCGACCGCCGAAAAATTACCGCCGTTTTTTTGTTTTACCGCCTCCTCCAAAGTCGTTACCACCGAAAAAAGCGTTACCGCCTTCCGCCAAAACATTACCGCCGTATGGCATAACTGCCGAAAACCTGTCCGCCAAAACACCGTTACCGAGTAAATCCTTGATGAATTCATAATCAGAGGCCAGATATCTGAGGCGACCAACACATGACAAGCCTCCCAATTCTCCTTCCACGACCTTTTGTGTACCTGCGGCATGCGCCAAGGCCGACGAGTTCTGGTCCAAAGTCGACAAGACCATCTTCGTCTCGGCCACTCCGGGGAAGTTCGAGCTGGAACTCGCCACTCTAGGGGCAGGTAAAAGCGGCGGATTGGGCTGGGACGAGATCGGAGATCTCGTAGATGCGCAGGCGGTCATTCGACCAACTGGCATCACGGATCCTCCGGTAGACATCCGGCCCTCGAAGGGACAAGTGTCGGATATGGTGCAAGAATGCAAGACAAGGGGGGGGCGTGGAGAGCGGGTGTTGGTGACTGCGCTGACCAAGCAAATGGCCGGTGAGGTTGAAATGAGAGGGGTGCCACCCGCAATGCAAGAGATAGTTCGGTGTTTTGTTTGCGACCCTTGCATAGCGTAGGCATCTGGGCGACATAGCGTGGTGCGATGAACACACGAGCTGACTGTTGCCGGGATTATTTGGAAGTTCTCCGTTGCGCTGTACTCCAGCGTAGACTTCATTTGCAATCGCAACGTAGTCATGGTTCACTCACGAATTTCGCCATCATGAAAAGCTCCGCGAGCCCCCTTGTCGTGTTCTCGTATGTTTCGTTCTCCTCAAAAACTCAAATTGCGTCGTGTGGTGGAACCGTCTCATCAGAGGACCTGTCGGCCTTCTTGATGGAGCAAGGTGTGCCGACGGCCTATCTGCACTCTGGCGTCAAGCCTATGCAGCGTTTGGAGCTGCTGCGGCAGCTGAGGAGCGGCGAGATCGACGTGATCGTCGGCGTAAACTTGCTGAGGGAGGCACGTGTTTGAAGTAAATGCGTCGTTCGTCGAAGGTTTCCGCCTCAGGAAGAAAAAGCCTCACGGCAAACGACCCCGAATAATTACTTCAGCCTGTGAGCGTCCCTTGTTGGTGAAACGACTTCTTTGCGTTGTGTACGAAGGTGTATCGGCATGCTAAGCATTCTTATTCCATAGGTCTTGAAATATTGTTGAATACTAGCGAGTCGATCAACCAATGAAGCAAGTACATAATACGTCAGGGTTCCAAGATTCACGCCGCTGATATTTTGCGTGATCCATCCGCCCCCTCCGGCTGTCGATTACCCAGGGCCTCAACCTTCCCGAAGTGTCCCTGGTGTGCATCCTGGATGCAGACGCCGAGGGCTTCCTTCGCTCGGACACGGCCTTGTTACAAACGATCGGACGAGCTACGAGGCATGAGGCAGGCAGGGCCGTCTTGTACGCCGATCGCATCACTCCTTCCATGGAGAGAGCTCTGGCTGAGACCGATCGGAGAAGAGAGATACAGACAAGGTGAGGGGTAGATTCACGAACTTGTTTTGTTTTTCCAGCAGTCCGTGAAAATGCGTGATGTATAGCATGGGAATGTCGAGAAAATGATCCCGTTCTGATTATTTATGGATGGCTGCTGGCAAGGATCGAACGTCATGCGTTTGGAAGAGACTGCCGCGGCAGTAAGAATAACTGGGTGATTCTCGTGCACCTGCTCGGGTGCCTGCAATGCCACCCAAGGTATACAAGCCCTTTATCACGAATGGGGGTGAGGAATTCCATCTCAACAAAAGCACTACCGTCGATCGTCTTCAGGCTAAAGCAAGTATTGCATATGGTTGGTCGCCGTCCCCTCCCTCCTTTCGAATTGTCGACGTCGGCCTCGCAGGCATAACAAGCTCCACGGAATCACACCAAGCGTAGCCAAGGCAGCGTCTGTAGGCGACAGTATCTTGGACAGCATCAATGGCGATGCCGTTCACACGCAGCGGGAAGGCCGTTATAGTAGCAGCGACCACGTCGCATCCTGGGCGAATCACTCTCTGCTCCCAGATCAGGTGAACTGCGGCCAACTCCCAACCTCGAATTGCACATGCACGTTGGGGTGTGCCGCTTCGATCCTTTGGCAGAGCAACGGCGTGTGTGTTTCGTGGGGTACCCGTTGTGCTCGAGAGGTACTCACGAGAACGAGACTGACGACCCTTCTGGGGCGTAGCAGGCTGATGCGCGCCTGCACACACAGCTGAACGGGAAGAGTGCCTGCCTCACTTTACTCATTCGTGTGCATGCAGGTCCAGCTGCTGTACGATTTAGCGGCCCAAAACGGCAAGGGTTCAGCACACCAACACAAGAGTCTGCTCACACCAAGCGAAGACACGACACGTGCTCTGATGCGCCTGGCAGAGCAAGCTTCCACGAAGATGTCCTCAGCGGCGACTAAGACGGACTTCAAGGAGGCAGCTCTATGGCGAGACCGTAGAGACGCTTTGCTATCCACCCTGTCGACTATTGGAACCTACCAGCTGTAAACTAGCGCGCAAACCAGCCTCCATGTGAATATTTTTGAATCTGAAACGTTTTCAATATTGTGAGGTTACGTCCCGATGGCGGTAGTTGGTTGTAGGTGTACTGGAATGAACGGCATCCTTAGCGACTTGCTTTCACGCGTGTAATCAAGCGATCAATGGTGACCGTGGCTGTGACCGTGACTGACTGTGGATGGGAGGATCAGGTGGGATCAGCTTGTTGTGTCGAAGATCAGTGTGAATACTTGGCGTCAGTCCCAACCGCTTTGTTTGTGCGAGACAATACGTCGTTTTTCTGCTGCTGCTGTGCATGCTAACCGACATCAATCATGAGGTCTGGGTGCCGCAGTGGCCGAACGCCTGGTCTTATGGTCAAGCCGGCGCGATTGTAAAAGCTTGGCCTCGAGATATTCATACGACACGAAAAAAACAGGCCGCAGAAGTTGGCGGGTCATTGAATGCCTCTTGCATTAAGACCGCTAAAGGCATCTCTCTCGTGCGACCTTCCAACGAAGGCGAATTTGTCCAAAACCTTACACTCACCCAGGTTCTCTATTCTCGTAGCGGGGATACAATTGTGATGAAAAACTGAGGGGGGGTCAACGAGGCCGGCTGCCCGCGGTGCTCTCCCATCTTCATCAACCTGCCAACGTGTGCGTCCAGTTCGGTTGTATTTTGTGTTGTGTGTCACAGAGGAGCCAAACACATTGGTTCGCGATGTGACGGGTTTACAGCGCGTTCGGAGGAAGTTGTAAATGTTGGGATTTGTATGCAAGAACTGACTCTATTCTACTGCATGGGTTTTGTGCAGTATTGTGAAGGCGTGTCTCCAAGTCTGTAACCGTCAGGTGAAGACAGCTTGGGCGCCTGTGTTTTGGATCTAATGATCACTCTGTGTTGTATCTACCCAAACTGCGCCACCACTGCCAACTACACAACAAACAGCAACTACAATTCT